AGCATTCTCATCAATAATGGTTACAGGTGTGCGTGCGCGCGCGAGCGCAGTGGGCTGGAGTAGCGTGAGCTCTAAGGGGAAATGTGGAGTTTGTGTTCTCCAACAAATAAAATATTCCTCTCTGCCCAGCCATCTCACTTCCTGTCTGTCTGTACAGACCTCCAGACCTCTATGGTTAGCTAGTGGCTTGCCCCGTCCTCTGATTTTCAGGCAAGCTTTATTTGTATAAACAAGGTATCATCACAGGTGGGTCTGTGGGAGCTGCCCTGCTTCACAGGGGTAATGGGCACCCTCTTTACAGGATCAAAGGCTGGTGGGTGTTCCATCATTACGTGTCCACGTTCCTGTCGGGAGTCATGCTGACCTGGTGAGTGACCAAGACCTGAGTTGGCAGGGGAATGGGGTGAGGCTGAAGACCCCGGCTCTCATACCTCCCTCCCTTCCTCTGCTTCCCCCTAAATTTAGGCCAGATGGTCTCATGTACCAGAAGTTCCGGAACCAGTTTCTGTCTTTCTCCATGTACCAGAGTGAGTTTCCTTGCTAGGGAGGGGATGGGGAAGAAAGCCTGTGGCCCAGAGCGGGTCTGACACACCCATTTGCCCCCTGTACCCAGGCTTTGTGCAGTTTCTGCAGTATTACTATCAGAGCGGGTGCCTGTACCGCCTGCGCGCCCTGGGCGAACGACATACTATGGATCTCACCGTAGGTGAGTCAGGTGGCCCTGCTCTGTAGCCCTGAGGCGGTGCCTTCCTTAGTGAAGGTTTCCTGTCTCTTCCAGCCTGCTCACCACCTCAGCTTTTTCCCACCCCCCACAGAAGGTTTCCAGTCTTGGATGTGGAGAGGCCTCACCTTCCTGCTTCCTTTCCTCTTCTTTGGACACGTGAGTCACCCCTGGGTGTCCCCATCCACCCCTGGGTGTCCCCCTCTGGCTGAGCCCCAGTGGGCACTACACTTACTGAACAGACTCCCTCCTTTACAGTTCTGGCAGCTCTTTAATGCATTGACATTGTTCAACTTGGCCCGGGACCCTGAGTGCAAGGAGTGGCAGGGGAGCCAGGGGGCTGGAAGGATGCACGGAAGATTCCCTCTAGACCTCACCTGTCCTGACCCCGCTTCCCCAACCCCTGCAGGTGCTCATGTGCGGCTTCCCCTTCCTTCTCCTTTTCCTCGGCAACTTTTTCACGACCCTCCGAGTGGTACACCAGAAGTTCCACAGCCAGCAGCAAGGGAGCAAGAAGGATTAAGCTAGATGTGATGGCCAGCCCCAAAGGGGCTTCGACCTGTGTGCCAGGTGGGGTGGCAGGTTGGGGCACCCCTGTGTGTAGGGGGTTCCCTTCTGTGCCCCCTGGGCTTCGTGGGCTCTGTGGGCCCTGAGGAAGGCCTGGGCCTGGAGCCCAGCTTGCAGGATTTGGGCTCTGGGCCTCAATAAAGGAAGAGAGGCATGGAAGTGTGTGATGGATTGTGGTTGTATTTTCCCCAGGGAGGCAGGGCTTGGGGTCCCCAACACAGCAGATTCTTGTCTCCTGGTCTGGGGAGGTGGGTTGTCTACTGAAGCAGATCCCAAGATAGACCCCATATCGGCTCCAGCAACACCAGACAAATACAGAAAACAACTTTATTCCAAGGGCCAGGTTATTTAAAATTATTTACACTCATTCAAAATCATGTGGTGGGGCTACAGCCCAGCTCAGTGGAGAGAAGAGCCCCTCTGTACATCTGCCGAGGGCCTAAGGCACCCATCACCCTCGCCATGTGCCCTGGGGCTGGGCTGCCTGGTATAGTGGACCAGGCTCAGCCTAGGGGCCCAGGAGGGCATCAGTCAGGCCAGGAGTCGGTCCCTTGGCCTCCCTGTGTCGAGGCCAAGCAGGAACCTCCAGAGGTGGAGGTCGGCAGAAGGGAGTTAAGGAAGTGATTACAGGGAGCAAGGTGAGCGGGTGGCAGCTCCTAGCTCCACACATCCAGGGAGTAGCGGCCCTTGGTCATCAGCTTCTTAACATAGTCCACAGCCTGGGTGTGCTCCATGGGCCCAAACTCGGCCACAA